AGGTAAGCAGGTTAAGGTAAGTAGGTAGGTAGGCTAGGTTAAGGTAAGGTAGGTTAAGGTAAGGTAGGTTAAGGTAAGGTAGGTTAAGGTAAGGTAGGTTAGGGTAAGCTAGGTTAAGGTAAGGTAGGTTAGGGTAAGCTAGGTTAAGGTAAGGTAGGTTAGGTAAGCTAGGTAAGGTAAGGTGGATTAGGGTAAGCATAGGTTAGGGTAAAGTTTAGTTAGGGTAGCGCTAGGTAAGATAATTAAGGTTAGGGTATACTAGGTTAAGGTAACGGTAGGTTAGGTTAGGGAGGTTAGGGTAAGGCTAGTTAAGGTAAGGTAGTTAGGGTAAGGTAAAGGGTAAAGCTAGGTTATGGGTAAGGTAGGTTAGGGTAGGCTTAGGTAGGGAAAGCTAGGTTTAGGGAAAGGGTAGGTAAGGGTATGCTAGGTTAGGGTTAGGAAGGTTTAGGGTAGGCTAGGTTAGGTAAGGTAGGTTAGGGTAGGCTAGGTTAAGGTAAGAAAGGTTAGGACCCCAGCCTGGGTCCTGACTCAGCCTTGGTCCCTACCCCAGCACTGGTCCTGACCCAGCTTTGGATCCGACCCCGCTGGTCCAGACCCCACCTGGTCTTGAACTCTCACCTGGGTCCTGACCCCCAGCTTGGATCGCTGAATCCCAGTTTGGATCCTGACCCCAGCCTGGTCCTGACGCCCAGCCTGGTCTTGACCTCCAGCTGGGTCTTTACGCTCAGCCTGTTGGTCTTGACCCCCCAGCCTGGGTCTTGACCCCCAGCTGGTCCTTGGCCCCCCCGCCTGGGTCTTGGCCCCCAGTCTGGTCTTGCCCCCCAGGCCCTAGTTCTGACCTCAAACCGGGTCTTGACCCCCCAGCCTTGTCCTTGAACCCCCAGCCTGGTCCTTGACCCCCAGCCTGGGTCTTGACCTCCATCATGGTCCTTGACCCCCATGCCTGGGTCTTGATCCCACAGCCTGTCTTGACCCCCAGCCTGGGTTCTTGACCCCCATCCTGTATCTTGACCCCCACCTGGGTCCTTGACCCCCAGCCTGGGTCTTGACCCTCAGCCTGGGTCTTGACCCCAGCCTGGGTCTTTGACCCCAACCTTGGTCTTGTCCCCCAGCCTGGGTCTGACCTCCAGTCTTCAGTACATATTAGTTTCGGTACCGATAATAGCCAGGAGCAGTTTATTCAGGTACTGCCTCTGGTATCAATAACCATAATGCCTCCGCCCAGCTCCTGTCGGAGACATCTCCTTGTACTTTGTCTTGATGCTCGCCAAGGTCCCTATCTGAAGTTACAAGGAGGTACAGTCAGCACACAGGTGGTGGTGAATATGCTCCTCACTTCTCAATACATGGACAGGTGTGGGTCCGCATCCTGGGTGTTAGTGGACTGGTGTGGGTGGCATCCTGGGTGTTAGTGGACTGGTGTGGGTCGCATTCTGGGTGTTAGTGGACTGGTGTGGGTGGCATCCTGGGTGTTAGTGGACTGGTGTGGGTGGCATCCTGGGTGTTAGTGGACTGGTGTGGGTGGCATCCTGGGTGTTAGTGGACTGGTGTGGGTGGCATCCTGGGTGTTAGTGGACTGGTGTGGGTGGCATCCTGGTGTTAGTGGACTAGTGTGGGTGGCATCCTGGGTGTTAGTGGACTGGTGTGGGTCGCATCCTGGGTGTTAGTGGACTGGTGTGGGTTGCATCCTGGGTGTTAGTGGACTGGTGTGGGTCACATCCTGGGTGTTAGTGGACTGGTGTGGGTCGCATCCTGGGTGTTAGTGGACTGGTGTGGGTCGCATCCTGGGTGTTAGTGGACTGGTGTGGGTTGCATCCTGGGTGTTAGTGGACTGGTGTGGGTGGCATCCTGGGTGTTAGTGGACTGGTGTGGGTGGCATCCTGGGTGTTAGTGGATGGTGTGGGTCACATCCTGGGTGTTAGTGGACTGGTGTGGGTCACATCCTGGGTGTTAGTGGACTGGTGTGGGTCGCATCCTGGGTGTTAGTGGACTGGTGTGGGTGGCATCCTGGGTTTTAGTGGACTGGTGTGGGTTGCATCCTGGGTGTTAGTGGACTGGTGTGGGTGGCATCCTGGGTGTTAGTGGACTGGTGTGGGTGGCATCCTGGGTGTTAGTGGACTGGTGTGGGTCACATCCTGGGTGTTAGTGGACTGGTGTGGGTCACATCCTGGGTGTTAGTGGACTGGTGTGGGTCGCATCCTGGGTGTTAGTGGACTGGTGTGGGTCGCATCCTGGGTGTTAGTGGACTGGTGTGGGTCGCATCCTGGGTGTTAGTGGACTGGTGTGGGTCGCATCCTGGGTGTTAGTGGACTGGTGTGGATCGCATCCTGGGTGTTAGTGGACTGGTGTGGGTCACATCCTGGGTGTTAGTGGACTGGTGTGGGTCACATCCTAGGTGTTAGTGGACTGGTGTGGGTCACATCCTGGGTGTTAGTGGACTGGTGTGGGTCACATCCTGGGTGTTAGTGGACTGGTGTGGGTCACATCCTGGGTGTTAGTG